CAAACATCTAGTTTACCTGATTTATTATCTTGTGGTCTATTTTATATGATTCCCTAGCATTCTTTCTATAATGAAACTTTGGTCAAGTGAATGGAACAGAACAAGACATTAACTAGTGCTCCCACAATGTTCTTCTAGCAAAGCAGGCAGAACAATCTTTTAGGTAATTACCTTCTCCTGGCTCAGCAGAGCAAGGTGTACAACTTAGCTGCTGTTAACTCATTTTGTGCCTTTCTGCTGTCACTCCCTCTTCTCCAAGCTACTGTGTTCTCCAGGCTGTTGGTGAGTCTCCCATCTCTGGCCCCATATCCTGTCCCCCACCACCAGAGTTCTGCCGGCAGCCACCACCAGAACCCCCACAAAAAAAACCACCTCTTGGGGACCCCCCAGGGTCATCCCAAAGGGCATTTGGAACTCAGCTTTAGAGTTCTCCAAGCTCCAGATATTCCCCCTGTAGTGGGTTGACCCTGGTCTGATGCCAGGTACCCACTAAAACCATTCTCTCACTCCCCTCTGCAACTGGAGAGAGGAGAGAAAAACAGCTAAGGATTCATGAATTAAGAGCTGGGAGAGGTTACTTACTGATCACCTTCATGGGCAACACAATCTCAAAGTGGGTATATTACTTAAATATATTACTATCAGGATCAGAGTAAAAGAGTGAGAAGTAAAATAATCTTAAAACCACCTTCCCCCCACCTCTCCTTCCTTCCATGTTCTCTCTCCCTCCCCCCAGTGGTGCAGGGGGATGGGGAATGGGGGTTATAGTGAGATGATGTTTCTGCCACTGCTGAGGGAGACAAGTCATTCCCCTGCTTTCTGTGGGGTCTCTCCCACGGGAGACAGTCCTTGATGAACCTCTCCAGTGTAAGTCCATCGTAGTTCTTCACAAACTCCTGTCCCATGGGTCACTTTGCCATGGGGTGCAGCCTTTCACCAAGGAGCTGTACCGGCATGGGTCCCCCACAGGGGCCAAAAGTCCCACTCAGGAAAATCCTACTCTAGTGTGGATTACTCTCTCCATGGGCTGCAGGTCCCTGGCAGGACCCTGCTTCATCTTGGGCCTCCCACAGGGTCACATGCATCCACCTGCTCCAGCATGGGCTCCTCCATGGGTTGCAGGTGGGTCTCTGCACCCTGATGCTCCTCCAGAGGCTGCAGGGGCACAGCTATCCCGCCATGGTCTGCACCACGGGCTGCAGGGCCTCAGCTCCGGCACCTGGATCTCCTCCTGCCCCTCCTTCTGCACTGACCTTGGTGTCTGCATTGTTGTTCACATGTTCCCACTCAGTTCTCACCTGGCTGGAATTTTCACTGCACAACAACCTTCTGTTCTTAAATATGTTATCACAGAGGCATTAGTATTACTCCTAATTAGCTCGGCCTTGGCCAGCGGCAGGAAGTGCATCTTGGAGTCAGCTGGCATTGGCTCCACCAGAGAGAGGAAGCTTCTGGCAGCTTCTAACAGAAGACACCCCTATAGCCCTCCCCACTACCAAAACCTGGCCACAAAAACCCACTACACCCCGCCCAAAAAAAATCCCAGGGATCCCCCAAGATATTTGGGGTGAACTCCACCTCCCTGGTCACCTGCGGGATGAGAGGGGTGTGATGCTCCAATGGGCAGGGGGGCTTCAGATACGGCAAGTGGTAGAACTCTGACCTTTCTCCTCTTCCTGCTCCCCCTTCTCTTTCCTCCCACTCCTCTTCCTTCTGCTGCATCCCTTCTCTTCCTGCTCCTCCTTTCTCCCTCCTCCTCCTTCTTCTCCTTCTCCATCTCCTCCTCTTTCTCTTCCTCCTCTTCCAGACAACCCTGGCTGTGAGTATAGACTGGGAAAAAGAGGCTGGAGAGCAGCTGTAGGAAGGGCCCTGGGGGTCCTGGTGGGTGGCCACTTGGCCATGAGTCAGCAGTGCCCTGGTAGCCAGGAGGGCCAACCATGTCCTGGGGGGCATCAGGCCCAGCATCACCGGTCAAGCCAGGGAGGGGATTGTCCTGCTCTGCTCTGACCTGGAGCAGCCTCACCTTGAGTCCTGGGGGCATTTTGGGGCACCACAAAATAAAAAAGATATGAAGTCATTACAAAGCATCCAAAGAAGGCCATGAGGATGGGGAAGGGTCTGCAGGGGAAGCCTTATGAGGAGTGGCTGAGAGCACTTGGTGGATTCAGCTGGAGAAGAGGAGACTGAGTTCAGACCTCATTGGGGTCTTCAACATCCATCTGAAGGGGCAGGTATTGATCTCTTTGCTCTCCAGACCAGTGACAGGACTTGAGAGAACAGCTGGAGCTGAGTCAGGGGAGGTTGGATATCAGGAAAAGGCTTTTCCTCCAGAGGGTAGTTGAGCACTAGAACAGGCTCCCCAGGGCAGTGGCCACAGCACCAGGCCTGTCTGAGCTCAAGGATCATTTGGACAATGCTCTCAGACACAGGGTGGGATTGTTGGGGTGTCCTGTGCAGAGCCAGGATTTGGACTCGATGACCGTTGAGGGTCCCTTCCACCTCAGGATATTCTGTGATTCTATGGGAATCCCTGCAGTAAGTGCCATGTGGGGTGAAGTCACAGACCCACAACTGAAGCTTGAGGGGTTTGGAATATTACAAAGTGTTGGGCCATTTTCCATGAGAGCAGTGGAGCTAATTAGATAGTTCCTATGGACATAACCTTGAGTTATAAAGAGTACAAGGTTAAAACTGTTTGGCTAAGTGCAGGTGCTACATTCCTGGGTGTTTCTGTAGGAATATGTTTATGTTGTATGTGTGTGAAAGTAGAATTTAGAGAACTTAATAAAAGGCTGCTTGCTGGGCTGAGCAGGCAGACATCTCTCTGGCTCATCATCCGAGTGTGTCGTCATGTGTCTTTCTTCCCCCACAGACCAAGGCCTCCGACAGGTACCCTACGACAGTGCCATGTGCTGAACCACCAAGGTTCAGTCCTGGCTTCCAGGCAAGAAGCAGATGCCAGTACTCACAGTGAAGTTAGAGATCCCAGCAAAAAACATTCTGTGTTTCTATGTTCTGAAAGGTCAAAGGTGGCATATGCTGGATAGCAGTATGCAGTCCTTCAGTTCAGATATCAACCCCAACCCTAAAGGAAATCAGGACACTATGGCGCATTTACTCTGTGCAGAACCCGCACTCCCTGACTCAAACACCACTAATGTACCACAATACTCAATTTCTGCTGCAGCACAAAATGGAATTTCTAAAGTTCCAACTGATTTGGTCCCACTAACAGCTGCAGTATCCAACATTGCCAACCCAACAGCCACACTGCAAGCAGCTGTTTTAACTGCTGTTGTGGTAAATTTTGTGAACTGGGAACTCAGATTCAGGGAGCCTCAGTTGGTGGTACTGTTGAGAAAGAGTGAGGGGAATATGAAGGACAGCACTAGCTTTCTGTCCTGACATCTTTTGTGTGGGAACAGTCACTGGAGGGTTTCAGTTTTGAAGCTGGGCTCTTTCCTGAGTGAAAATGTGTTTTGGTAACTTTAGTTGGGAAGGAAAGCACCAACTCCAGTGTTTCAGGTGCAGATGAGAGGTTGCCCAGGGCAAGTCAAGACCAGCACCAGCTTTCTGTGCTGGCACATTTGCGGTGGGAGCAGTTCCTGGGGGTTTTCATTTGTGGAGCTCAAGGAGCTTTTGGAGCCTTGGCAGTCTGGTGGTGCTGCTTTGCTCCCCTGACTGGCCCACGGGAACAGCTCAGCAGGGGCAGATTTCTGCCATCCCCTGGGCAGACGTGAGACAGTGTCCAGGACAGGGCAGATGATGCATCTGGGGCCTCCTGGAGCCAAGGGACCATTGTGACACTGCGGGGCCTGCTGCCCACCCCCCCCGGCCACTCTGTCCCACAGTGCTGAGCCTGCAGGAGAGAGGTTGGCAGAACCTCGTGGATGTGACCCACAAAAGAGCAGCTCCACCCGCTCCCTGCTTGAACCTGAACTTCTGGGGCCAGAGCCTGGGTTCCCCATACAATGGTCAGACCCATTTCCTCCCTGCAAGGACCCCCACAGATCTCTTGTCTTTATGCCACCACTCCTTTCCCAGGACCTTCCCTGCTTCCTTGGCACAACTGTACAAGCTCCTCTACCCCATTTCTCCCCAGGGGCATCTTTTTTAAGGACCCCACTACTTTCCCTGCCTCCCAGCACACCCCAGGGCACCCCAGTGTGTGGGTGCAGTGCACAGAAAGCAGAAAGTCAAAATGAAAAGTGGGGCTGCCTGCAAGCAAAAACTTCCCAGGGATGTGAGGTGGACCCAAGAGCCCACAGGATCAGTGGGATGGGAGCCATTTCACAGCTTGTTTCCAGAGGAGGAGCTGTCCCCAGTTTTATCCTGAGGACTCAGCCGGTAGCACTTGGGAGCAGCACCCCAGGTGGCACCCCATGCTGTGCATTCCCCAGCACCCCAGGACCTCGGATCCACCCTGTGCATTCCCAGCGTCCCTGGTACTCCCATTCCCTCACCCCCCGAGCACCCCAGCTCCCTCAGCACCCGTCACCCACCCTGGGTGAGGAGCAGCCTGTGAGCATCTCCCATGTTCTTTTGAAACCCTCGGTAGGATCCATCCCCAAAACCTGTTTCTGTAAAGACAGATTATGGTTAACATGGTTGGTCTCCGAGAAACAGAAAAATTGAGGCACCCACACTCCTGCTGACCTGAACATCAGCTGCAGGTGGGAAAAGTTACCACCTCTGTGACACACCCCGAGGGACACTCGGCCCATCGGAATACGCCTGTTCCATACAACGTACAAAGTGACCAAGTGTCATGAGGAGAACAGGAGCTTTGGACAAGGGTTATCAGAGAGCCCCTCCTGTTGGATCACGGGGTGCAGGCAGGACTGACAGGCTTTTCAAACTACCCAGAGGATCCTGGGAGCAGCTGGATCCAATCCCAGCCCCAGACGAGGTCAGGCATTCATGTCTGAAGGATTGTGGAGCTGGAATTGAGCCTTTATGCGACTCTGTCCCACAGAATTAATTTTGGCAAATCAAACCAATTAGTATAGGGAAAATAAATAATTTATTTCAATTGATAATTGGACTGGGATGTTGGGTTTTGGGATTGGCGTGTCAGACTGGGCTCAGCATTCTTCAACATCAAAAGCAGTGTGACCATGACCCACCTCCATCCATCTCTGACAAAACCACGAGCAGAGGGAACTCAAGCTGTTCCTCCTGTCAGCAGAGACCTTGCTTAGCAAAGCCCAGAGAAAAGTTGTTGCTTCACAACAGGAATTAAAACCCATCTCACAGAATACAGGAACAGTGCAAGCCAGGCTCTTGTGGTGCAGCTGAGGAAGGGTACAGCCACCCTCTCTCTCTGGGATACGGCTCCCAGAGGAGGCTGGCAGGGAGCTCTCCCAGCCCCAGGAACAAGTCCATAAAAAAATAGCAATTCCCAACTCAGGACACTTCAGGGACAGCCAGACAGACTGTCCTGGGATGGACAGGGGCATCCAGAGAGGGGAATGCTCCCTCAGCAGGGGAGCACATGGGGTGACAGCTCAGCTTCTGGATGAATGGTATCTGACTCCAGGGAAGCCTGAACACCCCAGAGATGCATCTCCTGCTCTGGCATCCTCCGCTCCTTCTGGAATTGTTCTTCCAAAACAAATACAAAGGCCAGAACTGCTCAGAAGCAAAACTGTTGTCGGATTACAGTAGCTGGTTCTGGGCAACTGCAGGAACAGACAGGTCTAAGCAGCAGAGTGGGTCCAAACCCGAGCACAATCCCAGCAAATCAAAAGGTCACAATCTAAAAAACATTTGCAAAAAGTCCAGGAGTTTCTGCAGGAACAACGAATACAGCTGGGAACCTGCAAGACATTAAGGACACGGACCTAGCGTGGGGAGAAACTGAGACAAGTTTACTGGGGGTCGTAGCCATTTTATAGCCAAACACAATTCCTTATAAGGTAAAAAGTGTGACCGCAGCATCCGATTGGCTGCTAACTGTCACCTAGGGAGACGGCAGTTTTCGGTGCTATGAACTCACTTCTGTAATGAGGTGTTCCGTTCTCTGCAAGGTCTATTTTTTTCCCGTTCCACAGTCTCCAGTCTCGTTGTTGCTTCACCCGACCTCACTGTTCAGCACGGTCCTTTGTTTTGAGAGTTCTCATTCGTGGATATCACAGGAATCAGAAAACAATTTTCTTCATTTTCACTGAAAGGAGCTTGTCATTGCTTGCTCAGGCAGGCGCCCAGTGTTCTGGTCTTGCGGAGGTAAACTCAAAAAGCAACTTTAAGGGTTTTAGATAACAAAGAAAATTTCCCTCCCCCACATCCTGTAGGCAGGAAAACTTAACCAAAAAGTAAGTAGGAAAGTTTTTCTTTTTTCTACCTCGGGATAGGATCTGTCTCCATCCAGTTGCCAAGCAACAAATGACTGCTATTACGTAAGGAGTAATATCTTATCTCTTCTCTTGCAAAGGCAGAGGTTTTGCAAGAGGGGTTTTTTTACCTTTTTCTTTAACCTAGTGTGATAAACAAAGTCTCGAGTTTCTATAAGTTTCGAATAATAGCTTGTTATATGGTAAAAGCAAGCAGCCGGCTGGGTGACAGAAATGGGACCAGTTTCCCAAATCTGCACACCCCTACTACAGGGTACATTTAGTATTTATCTTAGCTACTTCATGCATATTAATTATATCATATACATATACATTCTACAGGTTTTTGCTAAGTATTTAATATATGGGTTTTCTTACAGCTAAAGCTAAAAGGGTTATCTCTACAACCAGTCATAATTCACGCATCCTTGGACGAACAGGCGCCTAAAGATTTAAAGTTCTACTATATTTTATTCTTAGGATAGTAGGGAGGTTTTAGACCTCTTGACCTTGTGAGGGTCGGTTTTATTTCTTTATGGGGGTGTAATTAAGTTTTACAATCTGTTTGTTTTATTTTGATATAATCACCCATTTGTTTCACGAATCACAATTATTTATATATCACACTAGAAAATTGTAAAATTCTGGTTTTTGAAAGTTTTACTCTTCCCCCACTCTGAGACAGGGGTAAAAAACACGAAAATCCATTTTCCCCCAGACTCGAGAGATGGATAGTTTTGTGAAGGGCTTTCTGCTAACAAGAGAGGCTGTATTTAGTTGTTCCTCCACTAATGGCTGTAAATGCAGTAGCCATTGTTTCATCCATATAGGGCTATTTGTTTCTTGGGTTACCTGTGGATTTAGCTGCCAAAAGAGTAGCTTTATGAAAAATCTTCTGTTAACTGATTCTCCCCCTGACTGAAGCAGTCTCTGCTCTACAGAATGAGTGATTTCGGTGGGACTAATGGAAACAGAGTTAATGCCTGGGCTGTTGATGGCTATGATATCTCTGCTTCGGAGACGTCAGTTTAGGAATACTTACTAAACAGGTTTGAGTGTTTTTTAAGGGTCATTGTGAGGAAGAGACGTCTGTTCTGCTGTTAAAAATGTTTGATATGTTTGTTTTTGCCTCCCATTTTTGCCGTTTAATATGGGTAAAGGGCATTCTCTGCGTGTTTGTGTCCGGAATAGAATTGGAGGTGTGCACTGCTATCTGTTATTTGCTGCAGCCCAGCGCGGCACGTCCTCCGGGCTTGCACCGTGTCAGAGACTTGTTTACCTTGCCTCATCAAAGCATCCGCAGTAACGGTTTGCAAAGCGTTACGTGTTTCTGCAGCCGAATTTGCAATCGCTTGTTTCTTTGCTAATTGATTCTGCCTCGATCCCCACATTGTGTACTGCATATCGGTCATTATTAAACGAAATAGTGTTTTGAAATCGTGAGGGGCAAACATCTGACTCGACCCCCCCCCCCCCCCCCCCCCCCAATCTGCATCCATTCCCCCTGGCAACAAAAAAGCACTTTTTAAAATAACAGATGACCTGCCGATTAGCAAAGCTGCTTTTTTTGTGACTCAAAGGGCTACATGTAGCGGCCCATAGCTGCGTGGTCGCTGTTTCTCGCAGCGTTACCTCTGTGTTGCTAGCCGTGCTGACTGTGCTGGTGAGCTGTTCGCAATTTCCCAGTCGGAACTCCCGCAGCACGAAACAGAGCGCTGCCAGCGTCGATAGTGCAGTTAATATATGCCCTTCCCAGCACCGATAATCCTGACCTCGCTAGCAGTCTCGGCTCGCGTCCCCTGCGCTCTCCAGACTTTCTCGTCTTCGCATTGGAATAGTAGCGGCAACCATGCCAACCGCGTCCCCCCACCCCCCGCTGAAGAATCTAAAACCTCCCGTCCCTCTGTCAGTCGTCCCATCCTGCCAAGTCTGAGCTGCCGCAGCCCGACTAGGGCTCCCGGAGAGCTGTGTCCTCCTTTTTCTTCTCCTCCATCAGGTCACCTCCGGCACAGAAGCTCCCCCGAGTCCGGCGGCGGCTGCGTTCCCCCCGCGCAGATCCCGGTCAGACGAAAACAGACCCGGAAAAACCTCCAAAGCTACCACGTTTACCGCGCGCCCTTCGCCCCCGCACTCGCGACCACGTGTTCTGAAAGTCAGGAGTCTTTTGCTTATCTGTAAATTCTGGGTCCTCCTCGGAGTGCTCCGGAGGCGAAACCGATGCTGCAGCGGCAGCACTGCGTAACCGGCGCTTGCGGGGACGGGGAGGTGAGGCCGGTCGCGCCGCGGGGTCGTGGCGAGGCGCGGGGCCGGTACGGCACAACGGGGTGCAGCTCGTGCTGCGACGGCGGCTTGGAATCAGCACTGCTCCTGCGCAACCTGGGAATGGGGCAAAACCCAACCTGTGCCCCCCTCCACCTCACGCTGGTTCGGAGTTTGGGACGGGAACTTGATCCAACAGTGTGGAAAAGTTCCATGCTCACTTCCCAAGGGACCTGAGTCTTCCTGGGCTTCAGAGTAATTCTAGAGCTAACGTGGTGACAGACATCAGCTCAAACTCAGCTAATATATGCGAGCAATCATGCCCAGCCTCCTCCTGCCTCCTCCAGCCTGCCCAGCCAACACACTCTGTCCCCAAAGCAGCACCTTCTGCCTTGAACTGTGAGCCTGGAGAACAGCCCTTGGCATGGGGTTGGAGCCATCTACACTGCTGGGAAGAGAAAACTGACTCGGAGCTGCCACAGGGCCATGAGGGCTGTTCTGCAGGAACAGCTCAACTGGGCTGGGATGGGGTTGATGGTCCTCAGCCGTTGCCTTTCCCGGGCCCAGACCCACAATTCGGGGCCACACAGTTCCCCAGCAGTGCCAGGGCTTGGGGCAGAAGCTTTGTCATCGCGTCCTTGTGCAGCATCACCTTCCAACAACCCTGGCCCAAGAGTGGGTGTGGTGGTGGCGGAGGGGCTCTCTGACCAGGGGGGTCTGTGCCCAGGGGTCCCGCCACCCACCACCTCCTCCAGCACCCACGGGACACGGGCCCTTCCCCAAGCCCTGCCTGGGACAGTTGTGAAGGAGGCTGAGACCCTTAGCCCACTCAAGAGCCAACAAACTATAGGGAATATCATCCCAGAGGAAAATGTGGGATGGGACTGATCCCTCACATTTAAATTTAAAAAGCAACATTTTGTTCAGATCCGAGCCAATGATGCCAATTTGTTTTGCCAGGGAACAGTGTCAGCACAAGGCAGACAGACATCAACTTTAAAGAACAAGTGTGCAAATTTACTATTATGCAAAACAACAAAGAATTACAAAAGAAGCAAGGAATTACAAAAGGATAAGCTCAGTAATCTAATCATTACTACAAAGAAATTCTGTAGTGATTAAGAGAGAGATACATCATTAGTTGCCCCTTTAATACATTACCTGTAATGTCAGCTGGGGAGGCCCCGATCCCAGCAAAGGGCTGGAGAACCACTCCCAGGAACTGGGAAAACCTACTCAGTGTGTCCACTCGTAGGTGAGGTCTCTGTCTTTGCTGTGAAAGGGTCCAGCTTTTATATTGTTAAACAAACAAGCTTACATCACTACTTAGTGCAGAAAAACATCTGGCTTACTTATCTCCTTGGGTTTCACCCAAAGCCTGGCCAGGACTCAGAGGAAAATCAAGGTAGTTAGTTTTGACCCTCTACTGCCAAACAAGGCCAGATATCTACTTCCAAGGCCTTGACCGGTCTCTAAATACAGAAAGATAAATACATTCATATTTCATTAATGGACAGATACAAATGTTCACTAATAAGCAGATAGAAATATATTGTACTAACAACCATACATGTTTACACAGGTGTACTCTTATCATAGTACGTATTTTATTAATGATTATACATAATTTTGGCTAATAAGGAGATACATGGCTAAATATAACATTAGGTTGGAAGGTTCATCTAAAGGTCAACCCTGGCTCAGGCCTTGTTCGCTTCACCATAGCAGCCCTCACAGTGTTTTGCTTTGCATGGTAGCTAGAACGGTGTTAATAATACAGCAGTGTTTTGGCTACTGATGAGCAGGGCTGGCACAGCATCAGCACTGTAACATTCCTTTGTCAGTCGAGAGCAAGATTCTGGGAGGGGACACAACCAGGCCAGCTGACCCAAACTGACCAAAAGGATATTCTAGATTATATGACATCAGCTCCGATATAAAAGGTAAGGAAAGGAACAGGAAGAGGGGCATTTGTTGTTTCCAATGGCTGCTTGCTAAGAAACCATTATACACTGCTGAAGCCCTGCTTCCCAGGATGTGGCCGGACATCACTGCTGATGGGAAGTGGAGAATAAACGTTATTTTCCTCTTCATTGGGGGAAGAAGAAAAGCTGTGAGTGCCCAGCATGGAGAAGGTTCTTTCTCCATCACCTCTGTGCCAGGTGAGTTTGGGGTTTGCTGCAGAGATATGGCTGCTGATTTGAGCAGTTCCCACTCCTGAGTTTACCATCACCTAGGTACACACACTCTCCATTGCCAAGGACAGGGACCCTGCAACAAGGAGCAGAGATAGAGCTGGCACAGGACAGGTTGTCCCCACTGTCCCCTGCAGCAGCAGCAGGAGACAAGCACTGCCCATGAGGGACTGTACCAGTAGCCTTGTCCCCCCAGGGCCTGCCCATCCCCCCAGCCCCTGCCTGGCTCCCCGGGACTCACGAGGAGTTGTAGCTGCTGCCGTCCCCCCACTGCAGCTGCTCACCCCGTCTCCGCAGCCCGAGCCAGTAATTGACGTCACCCCTGAGGAGGAAGAGGAGGCCCTGGACGGAAGAGTGGAGCCGGCAGTGGGAGCTGCCCCAGCCCCTTGAGCGCACCCTCCCGGGGCTTCTTCCCTGCAAGGCCCCAGAGCGGGACTGCACCCCTGGCCCTGCAAGCACCGACCCCGGGGGCTGCGGGGCTCTACCCGACTCAGGAACCCCCCTAGCCTCCCCTCCGTTGCCCCGCACCCCTCACAGCCCCTCACTCACCATTTCCTCATTCTTGAGCACGGCCAGGGAGGCCCCGAGCTTGGAGCACCAATCCTGGCCCTGCTCCCAGGTCCCCATATCTGTCGACAGGCAGGAGCAGACCCCGCGGTACCCGACCCAATCCCAGGGACAGGACAGCAACTGTGAAGCTGCAGGCACAACTGGAACCTCTCCACTGCATCTTACTGGAGAGAGAAAGGGAGAAGGTCTGAGGATTCCCCTCCACAGGGAGCAGGGACTCCACGCTGTGCAGAAGGGCTGGGCTGAGGCTCCTCCCTTACCTCCCAGCACAACCACGGCCACTGCCAAAGGCAGGGTCAGGAGCAGGAACAGAACCTTTTCATGGGTGAGCCTTGGATGGGATACGAACCTATTACCTGGAGCAGGAAAAAGCTACTGGCCATGAGGACAGGGCTGTCCTGAGCAGTCCCAGCCCTCACATGCCCGCACCCAACACCCATGGGAGTGGGAGGGACCCCCAGCCCGTGTGCCCCTCACTCACCTGGCAATGAGAGAGCCAAGGACCAGGGACACAGGTGAGGGGACACAGGTGAGTGGACAGTCAGGAACACAGCCAGGGACACAGGACATGTGAGGGGACAGCAGGGACACAGGTGAGGGCACAGCCTGTGGCAACAGAACTACCCAGAGCTGGGGGCAGCTGGGGGTGTTGGTACTGGCCATTGACGGGGCCAAGCAGAGCACAAGGCCTCTTCCAGACACCTGGAGGATCCTCACACTTACCAGCCCCGTCCTGCTGGGGTGACACTTCCCCTCCCTACAGACCTCCCCACCTCTCCATACTCACCCAGACCTCCTCTCGCATTGTTTCCATTCTCCATATTTTGACTCGCCGCAGAGTTAGAAGTGGCGTCTAAGAAGGGAAAGGCAGTTGGGAGACCAGGGACACAGAGTGAATTCCTTGGTTTTGTTGGAGAAATGTGGAAATGGGGTTGCATGATTCCCAGGAATGCCCTGGCAACTCTTCCTGTCTCCACTGACTGTGTCTGTTTTTCAGTCCCAGAATAGTTCGGGTTGAATGGGACTTGGAAGCTCATGCCGTTCCACCCCTGCTCCAGGCAGATAAACCTCCCACCAGCCCAGGTCACTCCAGGTCTGGTCCCACCTGGCCAGTAACGCTGTTGGTGATGGGGCAGCCAAATCAGTCTAACCGAGAAGAACCGGGACGAGCCAGTGCTGCTGCGGCATCAGCTCCTTCCGAGCATGCTGAGGGGTCATTGGGAAGAAGACGACCATGGGCAGCCGCTCCCTCAGTGGCCCCTGGGGAGGGGAGATGGGGCAGGACAAGCCCGCCGGACCCTTCTCAGCACCGCAGCCGCAAAGAGGCTCTGGTCGCCTCCACCACTTTTATAGCAGCTGAGGTGTTCGCCCACACCGCTCTGACCAAGGGGGAAATCAACCGATGGGAGTGGAACGCAGACCCCGTGTCCGTGCGGTGCCACCTCGGCCGACTCTTCATCCCGGGAACTGAGCCGAAGTCCAGCCGTGGGATCTGCAGCGCTGCACAGTGACCGACCGGGGAAGCGCATGTGCCGGGCGGGGGTTCCTGGTTACCGCGGACGTTCCCTCAAGGCCATGTCCCCGCCAGGATCGGGCGAGGCCCCGCAGGCCTCAAACCAACTGGGGGGACAGCCCCAGAAACCAGAACTTTGGCTTCGGGCGCTTGGAGCTGAACGAGGGGGATAAAGGATCCCCCGGCCCCTCCCCCCGGTGCCCCAGCAGCAGCTCTGCCCCCCCAGAATGGGGCTGTGTCCCCCCCCGGGCTTTGGGGGGTGAGTGCAGAGTAGGTGCTGAGGTGCTGGATGTCTCTTGACCGATGGGGCTGAAAGGGACAAGGAGGTGTCAAACAAGTGGCAAAAACAAATAAATGAATGGTGTGTATCAGGTCCTCCCTGCTGTGCCTTACTCCATCCTTCCCCCGGCTGCAGCCTTTCTGCTAAAGCCCTGTAAGATGCTTTGCCTGGGCCTCTGATCCCATGGCCCCCAGGATAAGGGAGTATCCAGACCCTCCTTGGCAGCTGCGCTATGACTGAAAGACCCACACAAGGGGGTCTCTGCCACCCCATGTCACCCAAAGAGCCGCAGCCGGGGCCAGTAGGGGTTTATGGAACTGCACCATGTCATTAAAAGAGCTGCTCCGAGGGATGGGCAGGGGAAATGCTGGTGGCATGTTTGGGGTAGAACAGAAGGGTTGGGGTCCCATGGGGCAGATCTGAGCTGGGAGGGAAGGGTAGACAGAGACCCATGTGTGCCTGACTATCCCAAAATAGCTCAATTAGCCCAAAATATGCCTGAATTCCTCCCAAAGTAACTCTGATCCTTCCTCTAAGATCTCTGAATTCTCCCAAAATAACTGGAACTTCCTCAAACACTTTTGCTTCCTCCACAATACCTTTGATTCCCCCCCAAATACCTCTGAATCCTCCAAAATACCTGAATTTTCCCAAATACTTCTGAATTATTCTAAAATACCCCCAAACTCTCCCCAAATACATTTGAACGCTCCCAAACCCTTCTGAATTCTCCCCAGATACCCTGAACTCTCCACAAACATCTCTGAATCCTCTGAAAATACATTAAGTCTCCCCAAATACTATGACTTATTCTCTAATACCCTGAACACTCCTCAAATACCTCTGAACTTTCCCCAAATAATTCTGGATTATCCCCAGATACCCCTGAATTGTGCTCAAATCCCCCTGAACTCTCACCATGTTTGCCAAATCCCATCTACCCATCCAGAGCTATTTTGGCCTCTGCAACCCCCTGAGGTGTCAGGGGCAAGAGGCACTATGGGAAGCCCTGACAGGGCACGGTTTGTTCTGAGCTAAAGAGGTATAACGGGGGAGGAGGCAGCAGACAGGACAGAGGGAGGGGACATGAAAAGAGATGGGAGGGAAAGAGAGGGGAAGGAGAAAGATTAAAAAAGATAAAGACAGGGGAAAAGACCAAAACAAAGGAGAAAACAGAATAAGACAAGCTTAAAGAGAGTTTAAATATTAAATAAATACACATGTGTTTGACTGCTCACAGTGATGCTGGGGTTCAGAGATGTAACAAGAACTAATGGTTTTTGCAGCAGAATGTACCATAGAAAATTACTGTCCCTCAATTTAAAGAAACCAGTCAAGTAAAGTGAGGAAACAGCGAAGAAGGGAACTGAAAATAGCTGAGCAGGCAATGCCAGGTTGATGAATAACCAGAGGTATTGTCTTAAACGAATTCATAAGGCAGTGACTCAGAACTTTGGGGGCTCCAGACACAGGTGACCACCAGAGACTCCCAATGAAGCCCCTCAGAGCCCTTATAAGGATATGCATATATGCTAACAAGTGTTGGGAAATGTCATGAATATGTAACAGGAATGCGGGAACGAAAAATGAATAATCACGTAATGTGGAGAATTAGCTAGCAGGACAAGGGCATATGGATATAGCTAAAGCTATGGACAAGCTGTTAGAATATAGAAACACGGTTTGCCTAAGCCAGTGGGAAAATCTGAGATAGCAAGGCTACAGTGTCTTTGTAGGTGCTAGTTGGCTGGTAAATAGGTCATTGTGATTAGCAAGACAAAAGCAACTGAGAGCCACCTGTGTCAACAAAAGAAGGGAGTAAGAGGCGGAATCAACATTTAAGCCAGAGCCAAGAATGAGCTTAACTTTTGCAATATGTATGAGCTAATTATAAAGCATATATTAAGCTGTTAGCAATGATCAATAAACAAAGTTTGCTGATTCTTATATTGAGGTCTCTTTCTTCCCTCGTCATGACAACGTAATGCTGACAGAGAAGCTGCAGTGGAGATACTTTTGTGTGTACTTTGGGAACTGATTCTCAGGGCACACGGAGCGCTGGAATCATTCCAGCGCATTGTGATAAATGTCTGCCTGCTAAAACTCAAAAAATATATCTTAGAAGTTTCTTTTAAGTGCTGATTTTAGGCAACAACAAAGGGAGTTGAAAGGTTTGAGAGGGGACAGGATCCTGGTAAGGAGTCAGGAGCTGCTGCTGCTGAGAGGGAGGAAACACACTGATGGATCAAAGCAGGGTTTGTGCTTTGAGCCCCTTTTCCAAAAACCTGCAGGAGGGAAAGCAGCTGAGTATGGAATAACTGTTCAGTTGAAGCTTCCCATTTGTAGCTCATTGCAAGTTTGTTTTGCCCACAGGAATCCCTGATCTGGTTCCTCCAGTGCCCAACTACCCATGAGCACAATTTAGTTCCCTGTACCCCGAACCAACAGGGGCAGCAGCTTTTGTTCCCTCCTGGGTCTTGTGTAATTTAGCAGCATAAAACACACTAATAAAAACTTACCAAACATTCTCTGATAAAACAATGATATTTCATTGCATAATGCAACACATTGTGCATTGTATTATTACTAGTATGATTATGTATTATTGCATAATGCATAATTGCAATGATATTTCATTACACTAATAAGGTCTAAAAGCCACATAGGTGGACAGTTCCTTTGTCCACAAATAGACGTGGAATAATCGCAAGGAAGTTCCCTCAGGGAACTTACAGGAGGCAATATGGAGGACATGCTTGCATACAGCATTTCCGTTGTTGAACTTTACAATAGAGAAAACAAAAACAGGATGGGCTGGGAAGAGGATTGCTTCCTCATCCTGGGAAGGTCCCAAAGTTCAACAGGACAAAGCCCAGAACTGTCCAAACTCTGAGCTGGATCTGAGCCAGAAACCAGTGGGCTGGGAGAGGGAGAAGGCTTTAATATTTTCAAAACTAAAGCATCATGCTTGAGACTAAAGAAGTCCCAGTGCACATGTTCAGTTGCCTCATTTCAAGTCAAAATTTCAGTCCCACATTCGTCTCTGCTTCATAGCGATGAATGTAAAAATGCAAAAAAATCCCTTGAAAAGACTGCACGAAGGTTCACGTTGTAAGAGCCCACTTGGGGCAGCCCGAGCTCCTGCCCAAGTTTAATCCCTCCGAAGCCTACTGTGGTTTCCAGCTGGTTTGCTCTAGCTCCCCCAAATCACTAATTCCACTGCACTGAAATAAATCTAATTCCTTTTTATTTTATCGTTATTTGCCTCTTTTCATCATGATTTCCTCAATTCCTTTCATGGTGAACAAACCCATCAGCTACATGGGGCTGAAAAAAACCCAACAAAATCACTGAAAAGTGCTTGCAAGGCAAAACAAATTACAAACCATCAAAACCCCACCTCCAGACACTCAAACCAACCCTGTGGTGGCAAAAGCCTCACTAAAACCAGCTGTAAAGTCATGATTTTGGGGTTTTATTCCTCCTTCCCTTCAATGTGCCACATTTAATTAATCATGTGGTTACTTCAGCCCCCCCAAAGACAAGACCATGACCTGGGTGCTCAGCCCTGTCCCAGCCCTGGCATCGCTCCGACCGGTGCCGACTCCATCACTCCGGAGTTTTACAGCCCAGAAGGTGCTTTTCAGTACTCACCCTCACAGTGGAGCTCACGGAGACTGGGATCAGCTTCCTGGTGCTGCTTAAATATGTGCTTATGGAGACTGGGAGGAGATTTTTGATACTGAGTTTATTATGGTCACATGCAGGGCATGGGGATAACAACTGGGACCACAAGGGGAGCTCAGGGTGCTTTCCAAAATGTTCCTGGACTTGTCTCTCTTCTATGTGGAAAAGTGTCCTAGTTAGAACAGCTGGGACTGATTCATCACTGGATGGGTGTAGCCCAAAACTGTGTATTCTATGGCCCTCCATGCCATTTTCCCAGAAACTGTTGTTGGGGGGGGGGTGGGGGGGGCTGCAAGGTGGGGGGGGTGTTCCTGTCCTCATACCCTTTTATGGAATTCCCCGCTCTGAGCATCCTCATACCCTTTTATGGAATTCCCCGCTCTGAGCATCCTCATACCCTTTTATGGAATTCCCTGCTCTGAGGGAACGAACTGAGCATCCTTTTATGGAATTCCCCGCTCTGAGGGAACGACTGACCATTCCTGCCTGAACTGGAGAATATATAAACCTGGAGTTTCAGAACGTTTCCACCACTCGTGGGATCCAGAGGAGGACTGCAGCTCACCGCTCTCAACCAGCCTGAGACCACCATCTTCAACTGGACTGCAATCACCACTTTTGACCAGACTGCAACAGCTCTCCCACCAGCAGGTTTTTCCCCTCTCCCTTTGCTGTGGACTCAAGGGGGGGCCCAGGGAACACCACTTTGTTCATGCCCCAGGGTGCTGGGTTATACGTTTGGGTTTTGTGGGTTAAAACCAATTGTTTGTTTGTATAATTGTACTTATTGTATTATTTTAATAAATTGTTATTCTGACTTTGTAGTCTCTCCTTTGAATTGAGTTCATTTCCCCTGCTGGTTAACTCTTAAACCAGCACAAAAAGAGACAACAACACTGCAACATCCCTAATGAGGTGGGGTGTCCATCCACAGCCCCAAAAATGAGGGTGATGCTGGACTGTGGCACCTGGTAAATGGTGACTCCCTTCCTCACACAGCTGCTTCCTCAGTCACTGCTGGAAGCAATCCAGGGAGCAGCTGAACTCCAGAATGTTCTGTCAGC